GGCAATCCTAATGTGAAAATGCAGAAACTGGATATAATTTTGAGATTGCCTAATTATGACGCAACGCTAAACTTAACTAATAACCATTGCAAAAAAACCAAAAACCTTTTCTTTGTAAGTCCTTAAGTTTACTGAAAATTAAATAGCTTTTTAAACTCCATTTATTTTGCCACGTAAGAAAGCTCTAACTTCAAATTTTAAAAACAAAAAAACATTCAAACACCAAAAGTAAGATGAAACCGTGATCAAACAATGTAAATCAAATATATTTGCCATTAATCATTTTTTCCGATTAAGTGACCTTTAAATTGAGGTTTATATGTTAAAAATAAAAAAAAAAGTTTATATATATATATATATATATATATATATATATATATATATATATATATATATATATATATATATATATATATATATATATATCGAAGTGTCTTTGTAGAGCGCAATTCGCTTTATCTAGCCATAAGCTGCTCAGAGCGCAATATTGTACACGCATGCGCAAGTATTTTATAATACGAAGTGTCTTTGTAGAGCGCAATTCGCTTTATCTAGCCATAAGCTGCTCAGAGCGCAATATTGTACACGCATGCGCAAGTATTTTATAATAAGAGAGCGATTTATATTTCACAATAAAGCTGGTTGGATTAAATAAAACTAGTTGGCAGTTGAATCGAAATCGAAAATTATTTACTAAAGAAACATTTTGTGCAATTTTTAAAGTAAATGTTTTATATTAGAACATTCTATTTCCATCAAAATACAACAACAGCATTTATTTGGGGAGTCAATAATTTCATCAGTTTAATGCAGCGTTTATTTTATTGAAATGTTTTAGATAAGTTCTAAGCAGTCCATTATGGCTTGCCAGCATCTATCTAAAATAATCATGAATGAATGAATTTAAAAGTAATTGTTTTTTGAGCAATTTATTGAGAAAAAATTCTAGTTCATGTGCATAAATAAACTATGGTAACTTATAAGGTAACTTTTTTCGTTTATAGTTTTCTCTAGATTACATGATAGATATCTACATGCAATTTTATATGTGTTCTTGTTTTTATTAAGCTAAAGTAGTTAATCTAGGTTGTTTACTATTTATTACTATAAACTATCTGTATTAACTATATAAGAGAAAAACTTGTGTATTAATAATATTTTTTATATTATTAAGTATATAAAACCTCACAAACCATAACCAAAAATGGGTTCAACTAACTTAATTATTAGAGTAAATTTTTTATTTATTTTTTGTTTTGAAATAAACATAAATTCACTATTTTTGAAAATAAAAATAACAATAAGATTTTCCAAAGAAAAAAACAAGATAATGAGCCATGTCTTGACAGACCAAATTTGATTACCAATGATACAATTGCAGGAAATATTACATTTGGTAATATTTTTTGAAATTATATTAAAAAAAGTTCCTTCCACACATCAAATAATTATTCAAAGTTATAATTTTGAGAACACACCAACTGAATCTTCTGTTGGTTGAACCTTTTTACTTGGTATTTTACCTTGAATCTGATAAAGTCAACAACAACAACAAGCTATTTATATTCCATTTTAAAATTATTTTTACAATAATAAGGTAAATAATAATAACAATAATTATAAAATAATAAGCAATAGTAAAAATTTATAACAATAATAGTAATAATAACAAGATAAAATTATAAATAATAATAATTACTATAATAATAAGTAAAATGATATTTTACTGTAATTTGATAACAATAACTAAGCATACCATTTGCACGATAAAGTTTTTTGCGCAGCTCATCAATATGGAAGTTCCACGAAAGATTGCAATCAATTAACAAACCAAGATATTTAATAACTCTCGTGGGATATAGTTGTTTATTATTTATTTTTTGATTTTAATTAGTTTAGTCTTTTCGGTGTTAAGACATATTAGGTTGGCATTTAACCAATGAACTATACCTTTAAGATCTGAATTTATATTTTTACATAGAGAATAGTATGATTTGTTGACATGCAAGAGATTGGTATCATAGATGAACCAACAAGAAGTAAACAGAGTTATTTAGATCATTAATGTAAATTAAAAACAATAGTTGACCAAGAACAGAACCTTGAGGAAATTATTTGTGATATAAATTAAGACCAAAGTATAAATTATAACCACACAGTCATAATTTATACCGCAAGAACTTTTATAGTAAAAAATCATTGAACTCTTAAATAATAAAAGTTGACTGAAATAATGTTACTGATAAAAACAATATTATGTCTAGCTTTTGAAAATGTTAAAACCTTTACGGAAACTTGATATATTCATTTACATTAAACTAAAAATATCGATAATAGATTGCTGAATGTCCCTATAACACTTTGATGTATTGTAGGTATTTAATTGCACATTAGTGAATAAAACCAAAGTTTAAAAACTAAAATCTTTCACAACACATCCTAGCAGGTACGCTTACCACTATTAATCACTTTTTAATATAAAAAAAGTCTTATTAAAAGCTTCTTATATTTTTACTTTTTAGAGTCACATTAAACAACTATCTGATCATTTTTTTAATATGAACAAGATAAAATTATTTTAAGTAAATTAATGAAAGATATTTGCTTACATTTATGTAGATTGCAAAATCTGTTTGAAATGCCAAAGTCTTGTTCATAAATATTTTAGATCAATGCTGGCATACCATAATGGTTTGTCAGTACTAATCTTAAATATCGTATTCAAATTATATGGCAACCATATGTTGTTACCGATATCTAAAGTAAAATAAGCGAAACTTTAAATTTAATGTTTATAGTTCCACAATTGTGTGGTTTAGATAATACTACATTGAACAATTTCTTAAATAATGGGAAATTTAAAGTAAACATTTACAATTGGAAGATTTTGAAATTCAAACTATTCTTGACTACATAATCAGTTTATTTTAAAAATGCGGTATGAGCAACTTTGTTTTAAAGTACCACTTTAAATATTGTTTACTTTACAAAATAATTTTTATGCAATTTGCAATTTATTATTTTTTAGCAAATTAACAATAATAAATTTTATTTTAAGTTGTTTGTATTTAAAGTTACTTGTTATTATTAGTTATTTCTTACTTTTTACTTATACCACATCTTGAAAATAAACTCTTCACATGAAAATGAGGATTATATATATAAGGGTTTTACTTCTAAACTTTAATGAAACTTTATTGAAAAATGTTATAAAAAAACACAAAGAAAAAGCATTGTTATTATCAATTTATTTAATTATTTAACTAATGCAAAATAAACATAAATGTAAATCATGCTTATCTCCTAAGCACACATCATGAAAATATCTGACACATTTGGTGCATTTCAACCATTTTGTTTTGAATCCTTTCCCTAAATTCTTATCAGGATGACACTTTTCGCAGTAGCAGCATTTCCTTTTTACTGTTTTCTTAGTTAACCCTAATGCTGTTTGGCCAGAACCTCTAGGCCTGCCTCTTTTAGCAACTTTAAGTGGTGGTTTAATAAGTTTTAACCTTTGGACATCTAAAGATTCATTTATCTGTTCTTGTTGATACATACTTTCAGTCGTAAAATCATTATGATCATCCTGTACTCCAGTGACTTCATCTTTTACATTGTCATCAATAAATGGACTTTCATTATTTTTGACAAAGAAATCAATATGTTGATATTCATTCATAATTGTAATTTTTTTAGAAGATTCCATATTTTATTAGAAGGTTCATTGTTTACTGAACTACTGGAACTACCAGGACCCACTACAAAGTTTTCGGATGAGATAGAGGTTGTCTTACTATCTGATACTTGTTGATCTTCAAAGAAAATTTCAAATCTTTTTCCATAACTAACCATCTCTTCAAATTTATCTAACTGCTTTAGATAATACTGGAACGTTTCTGTACCTAATTCAACCAATTTATTTACTAGCTTATCAGAGCAAACCTTGATAAGTTTATATTTCTGAATTTTGTCTAGTGCTGGAGTTCTCCAATTAGAATTCTCTACTTTGGCATTTTCATATGTAATAGGTGAGCCTTCAAAATAATTATTCACAACATGCCATCTTGGAATGAACCAATCTAAACTTAACTTTTCATTACCCAAATATTGGGAAACTGCAATAAGATGACGACAGGGCAAACACATATTCATAAAAAATTTACAATTGCACAACTTTTCACTCACTATATATGTGTTGTCACCAACAATCACATTGTGAGTATTGTTAGATGGCAAAATTAAATCATATTGAGTACTTTTTACAAGCTCAAGCGATACATGTTTTATAGCATATGGTGTAATTATGTTGTGAAGGTAGGACAACTCGGAAAAGTATTTTTTCGTTAAACTTTTAAATTGCTTAAATTTGCACTCCTCTAAAAACATGTCATTTAAAAAGAATATTTTTTCAAGACACTGATGTAAATCTATTGGGTGAGTTATTACACTTTTCAATTTCTGATGATAAGATTCGATTCTATTATTAGTGGTGTCGCCAAAGTTTAAATGTGTTGCTCGTTTATAAAAAACCCAACGATCACGCATATGATCCCTATTATTTAAAAAGTATTCTGCAAAGCACTCATTAAGAGACAAAAGCAACTGTTTCTGTTTTTCATATATTGACTGATCTCTTGAATGACAAAGTGTATCCAGATATACAGAAATTTTTCTTTTAACATCAATGGTACATGATAAGTCTGCAACCTTTTTCTTGAAAGCTTTTTTAACATGAAACAAACAAATTTCACAAAAACTATTAGGAAAATTTTGCTCCAGTGTTGTTAACTCACTCATATCTTTGTCTATCATAAATGTTTTAATGGAATTCCAAGAAGCATTATAAGCTTTAAAGGTTTTAAAAATTTGACTAAACATCACTTCTGACTCATTAGCAATTAAAGCAAAAGCAATTACGTGGGAAAAACCATTCCCATCCATGCATAAAAATGATACCAGTGGCATATCACTGTTGTTGAGACAGTAGGTGGTATCAATACAAATGTGCTCAGGAAACTTACTAAATATGGATCTCATTACACTAGTTTGAACAAATAAATACTGAAGAGTATTATCATCTGACATACCATATTGTGATACCAGTCCAAGATCACTCTCTCTTCTTTTCTCAACTACTTTCACTAGCAGTTCTGCAACATTTAAAACATTTCTTGAAGATGGGCATATTTTTTCCTACGATGAAAGATATTTTCTTTATTGAAAAAGAATTTTACATATATATATATATATATATATATATATATATATATATATATATATATATATATATATATATATATATATATATATATATATATATATATATATATATATATATATATATATATATATATATATATATATATATATATATATATATATATATATATATATATATATATATATATATATATATATATATATATATATATATATATATATATATATATATATATATATATATATATATATATATATATATATATATATATATATATATATATATATAAACATACATTTATTTAATTATGAAAACAACAATTTATGCAATGAAATAATAGTTTTTACTTTTTGACGAATTTTATCCTTAATGTTCCAAATGTCCTTATTTACTATGGATTTTCCTGTACTCTTTCTCATTTCATCAGCAATTACTTTAGTAGTAACACCAAGACGACTCAGTTCTTAAACTTTGGCCTTCTCTTCATTTGATAGCTTTCTATTTTGGACATAGTGTTTGTAAAGATCTTGTTCTGTAAAGCAAAATAATTTATTTAATCAAGTTGTATGATACTAAAAATTACTTTTTCATAATTCATTTAAATATGTAACTTTAAGGTTTTAAAAAAAAACCTTTTCACAGCATACTTTTCTTTCACAGCAGTCTTTCATTGCACAACATTTTATTTATTCATTCTATTTAAGTGATTTTAAAAAAATTTAAATTAAAGTTTTTTGTAAATTAAACAGTACATCGTGAAAAGCTGAACTTTAATAACAGATTTACAAAACTAAATATATAAAAAATGATAAAGTAACATTCATTTTAAATTTTAAATATTTTACCAATATTAGATAAATATTTTTACCAATAACATGATTGTGCGTTTCTATCATTTGTTTAATAATTATTTTTGTTCTATCTTTTGTTAAAGCAGCATAAATTTTAGCTGGACAGTTATTTTTTGCTGATCTAAAATGACAACAACTAAAAAAGTTTGTTCAAATGCTCAAATGCTCTTGAACTTTTTAATTTTATATGTTTTTGATCTAAAAGAAAAGTTAAATATTTATGAAAAGTAACTAATATAACAGTTTTTTTGTATTTTTAAAACAGATAATAATGCATATTTATAAGTGTACACAAAGTCTTGAATATGTTTCACACACACACACACACACACACACACACACACACACACACACACACACACACACACACACACACACACACACACACACACACACACACATATATATATATATATATAAAATATATATAAAAGTATATAAAGAATATATTATAGTTTTACATAGTTTTACAGGATGGCCACTTTGATCATTTTCAAATTTGAAAATGAAACTCCATGATTTTTCCATGACTTTTTTCATTACTTTTCCACAACTTTTTATAAACATTTTTTAAAAATCACAAAAGTAAAATATTCAGTACTTTACCATGCACTTAACATTTGCCACTTGGTCAATTACACTATCGGTAAACTTAACTTTAAACAACCCACTTAAACCAGCACATGATTTAAGTGAATAGTTCGAGTTTCTTCTGCCTTTCTCAGATGTTTCTTGCTTAACTCATAACTTATTACTGCTCCAATTCCCATGTTACTTAAACTGAAACTATACTAGAATATGAATTGATCCTATGAAACAGGTTGTATTAGATTAAATGTTACTAGTAGCAGGTGACCTGACCTCACCATATTTGATTGATTGATACAAACTCAAACAAAATTTAAAAGTGTGCTTTAATTTTTTAAAATGATATTTTAATAAATACTAAAATTTAAAAAGGTTGACATGACCTGTTTGCAATAAAATAATAATCTATAGCTAACATTGCAAAATTATCTTTTTAAAAAAGACTTAGACTAGACATACTAGTACATTTCTTTGCAAATATCCTAAAAATATCACAAGTAGAAAAAAATAAAGATAATTTTAAAAAGTTCCATAAATTTTCCATACATTTCAATGGAAATTTAGGAACTCCATGACCAAATAAAAATCAATGACATTTCCATGAATCTATGACCAGTGGCCACCCTGTTTTTAACAAGAACATTGTAAAGTATTTGTTCATTGATAAAATATAATTACAATATAGGTATGTTATAGTTAAGATTGCAAGCATTTATGTAAGTAAAATATACCCTGAATTTCTTTTCCCTATTCCTTTGCTTGAATTGAATCCACCATGTGTGCAAATTAAATTATAGTACACGTATTTAAACATTTCAGGATAAGGTCTTTGGTCGACCTTGATCTTAGCATTAGCTGTTACCGTTAGCTTGCAACCATGTTTAACCATGGGTTGGAATGTTTTATTACAGTGTATTTCAACTGCTTGAAAAAACTCATCCCAGGATAAGAAAGTATCATGAACTTTTAGCGACATTATTTTGAACGAGAAAATTATCGCAAAATAAAAGCAAATCACATCAAAATTGTACAAGATTTAGCGCATGCGTACGAAGTAATGCGCTCCGAGCAGCTTATGGTTGGTTAGAGCGCATTGCGCTTCAAGTAGCAACGGCCTATATATATATATATATATATATATATATATATATATATATATATATATATATATATATATATATATATATATATATCCTAAGTAGCTAACAATAATGGCACAATATTGGGGGGATAATGTTTTCAATATTGGTGCAATATTATAAACTATATCGGGTCAATGTTGCTCAGTAAACATTTTGCCAATATCGGACAATATTGGCGCTACAATAACGCGCCAATATTTTAAAGTCAATATTGGCCAATATTGGCGATACAATATTGCGCCAATACTGTAAAGTCAATATTAGGAAAATGTTTACGTTGCAATATTAGCGAGATGATACAATTTTTTACTAATTAAAATTTATAACAGTTTTCTTGTTTAAATGATCCTATAGTACGATGTTGCATTATTCTTTTGAGTTAAAGAGGTTATAATCTAGGAAATGGCAATGATCATAGAAGACGCCTAAGGAAAAAAAATTGTAAAACATTAATTTTATTTGAAGTTATATGAAATAGATAGAAATGAAAATAAAGAGGTATAGCGTTTTCCAAAACCAAAATATAACAAAGTAAAATCAAAATATGCTATTTAACAGGCACAAAAAATATGTATATATATTTATAAACTACTGTATTAAACTCTCACCACCAGATTGTGGCCATTGACTTCCATTATTTTGGCAATACTTATTTCATTGCTTAGTAATGGGCGTTGCTCAGTTACTGTTCTACTTTTCTTCCGTAATCTCTATTAATTGCCGTCGCCAGAAAGCTGCCAACTTTTTCTTTAATACTTTGGTCAGTAGCTATTTTTAAATGAACGAATACAACAATAAATAGCTAAGCGCAACTCTACAAAATGTTTTTTCAATATCGTCACAATATAGTTTTAAAATATATAATTTTTCACGTATAAATATTGTACAATAATTAGCTTTTATTGAAATATTTATTTATTAAAAAGAAATGGGATGTAGTGTACAAATATTGTTCTTTACCTAAAACGACCTAGCAGGACGTTTTTTATTTCCTTCTATACATTGAGTATGAAAAACATACTTCTATGGCGATTAGCTGTATTAAGATTGCGCTGTAAGTTAATCCTCATCTCCTCCCACCAAAGTAAAAAAGTTCATCTAAACTAAAAAAACAAATGTAATATAATTGGTTGTACTAGAAGTTTCAAGGTTTCACTAATGTGTATGTATTAGAGAGTTTTCCAAAATGTGATTCTTAATTAAATATGACATTATGGAAGAGTAAAAGCAATTGGTTATAAATAGATTAGGTCCCTGTTTTGCAGATCAGAACTGATTTTTTTTTATAAAACTTTTATAATGTAACACTAGGAAGAATGCCATCCAGAATTTTATACAGGTTTGTGAGTTTCTCCTACCCTTGACCACAATAACAGAGTAATATAAAATTCTCCAAGATTGGTTGTATTCGCCACAACAAAAAGCTGTAGTAAAAACAAGGTTAAGATACGTAATAGATATCTGAGATTAGTAGTCATTGCTACACAAAATACATTGCTAACTGGGCATAAAAGATAAAAATTACAACAAAATATAACAGACATTTGTATTAAACATTCTTATATACATCATAAATATAATCAATCGTGTATCATATTGTATCATTTGTTTGTATGTTTTATATGAATGTATCATATTTTTTTAAAAAAAGAAACTTTAATAGTATATGGAACTGTTTCCAAAAACTGTTAACTAATAATAATTTACTAATACCTACTCACTGTTTCATAACGTGCCTTTGTTTCATAATTTTTTTTCCAGGTTAAGATGATCTTTTTTCCTCTTTAACCAACAAATAACTCAATAAAAAAACTCAATAAACTCAATAAATTGAAAGAGATGGTCAAGCAAAGCTCTGCAAATACTTAACCCTTAAAAACTAAAGATTTCTTCAATCTTTGAGAAACTGATGTACAATCTCATCAGTGTCACTTTTTTTGTAACCTGCAACTTTTTAAGCTGGAGGCATAAATTATAGGCAGAGTTAATTAAATTGAAGGCATTCTTAACTGTCAAAAATATATAAAATAAGAAAAGGAAACCATTCTACACAATGAACAGTATTTGAGTCAAATATAGCTGTCGAGATCAGTAGCATCTTGCACATGTGTAACTTAAAATTAAACAAGCAAAAACAGTATTGTAAGTAAGCAATTACCAAAACAATAAAAATGTTTATTATCAGCTGCTTTCATTTACTTTAAAAAGCGTGACTTCTCGTATGGCAGCCAAAATGTACGATGCTTGCAAGTGATTTAGCCAATACATTAAGCTTTCATTGATCAGTCATTAAAAATAGGGCAAATGCATGTACTAACAAGAGGAACAACAGTTAAAAAAATAAAAAGCAATAATGTATGGTGGCATGGACCAAGTTTCCTTAATTCTTTAGAAGAAAAATGACCACAGAATTACATTGAAGTTACACAAGAGGCTTCAATTGAAGTAAAGAAAAATCCAGTATTAATGAATTTTGCATTATCCACTAAAGTAACAAAGCAATTGCTTGATATAAATAAGTTCTCAAGTTGGAAAAAACTTGTCAGGATAAACGGCTGGATCCATCAGTTTATAGAAAATTGTCGATTTGAAACAGATTTTCGTAAAAAAGGTGATATAGCAGTTGATGAATATCATGAAAGCGAAAAAGAAATCATAGCTAAAGCTCAAAAAGAAAGCTTTAAAGTAAAAAGCTTTAAAGAGTATACCAACATTAAAAAAGAAAAACTGATATCGATATCAAGCAAAATCATTCGAAGCCAATCATGTGATGGGAACAAATCAATTATTAATAAAACTATCAGAACGATATTGGGTAATACAAAGACGAGAGAAATCCGAGATGCAGAAGCAAAATGCAACAAATCTAAATTAAGAAGATTTAAACCTGCTCAACAGCTGATGGCCCTTTTACCAGCAATGCGCTGTAAAGAACCACTACGTGCGTTTGCTAGAATTGGTCTCGATTTTGCTGGTCGAATTTTTACTATGCAAGGTAAAGGGAAGATACGACAAAAGAGATACTTGTTCTTGTTTACCTGTTTGCTATCACGAGCAGTATATCTTGAGATGGCTTATAATCTAGATACAAATTCATTCCTCAATGTCTAATATCGAATGGTGAATAGAAGAGGATTAACGTTAAAAGTTTTAACGGACAATGGAACAAATTTTGTTGGCAGGTGTCGAGAACTAAATAAAACTGTCAATGACTTAGATAAGAATAAAATTACTAACTCTACTGCTGATAAAGGAATTGGCACTTTAATGCTCCGCTAAGACCTCATCTTGGCGGTGTATTTGAAATAATGGTTAAAGCTGTCAAACGTGCAATGACTGGGATACTTGAAAAAGCCGATATTACGGATGAAGAACTCTGTACGGCACTTACAGGTGCTGAGAGCTTATTGAATTGTAGCCCACTAACGTATCAGAGTGCCAATATAAAAAATGATATTCCATTAACTCTAAAGGAATTTTTGATTGGGCAAGTTGGTGAACAATTTGCACCTGACTCAGTTCAATCTAAAAACTATTATCCTAAAAAGCGCTGGCGTCGGGTGCAAGAAGTACTACGTCCTTTTTGGAAACGGTGGATGCGAGATTTGCTTCCATCTTTATCTAAAAAATATAAATGTAATAAAAAAAACGCAAAAAAAAAACTGATGACATTGTGCTAGTAATTTCTCTAAATACACCTTTAGCTCATTGGCCGCTTAGTAGAATTACGGAAGTCTTTGAAGGTAAATATGGACGTGAAAGAGTTGTGAAACTCAAAATTGGCAAAAAACAATTTATTTGACCAATTACAAGATTGTATCTTCTTGAGTTTGATAATTAAGAATGTTTGATAGACTGGAGTCTATAAAAAAGGGGGAGAATGATTGGAAGAAAATTGATTTAGCATAAAAGAAAAACAATATTCCAATACCACGATCGATATAACCGCTAAATAGCGCCAATAAGGCTATAACGCACTAAACAACAATTATATGGCGACTATTTTAACAATACCCAGCGGGCATTCAAACATTTAATCAACGTTAAAATAATGTTTGTTCTAAACGTTTAGATTTAATTTAGTTTCGCTCTAGAACGTAGGTCAATCGAATGTTCCATTAAAATCATATGTAAATGGTTCAATTTAAAGGCTATTTAAACTCTATCTAAATCCTTTGTTCTAAACTTCGCGACGTTTAACTTTATTTTACGACGCTTTTTTAAAGAAGCATAAATAAAAGAAATACTGATAAACGAATCAAACTTTTTTTTCATTTAAGCTGTTTTAAATAAGCAACATAAAGAAAAGTTAAACGCTGAACACATTATCTAAATACTCATAAACAAATCAAACGTTAAATAGATAATTTTTTATTTATATAAGTCAAAAATACAAGTAAATTCATTGTATTTATTATTATATGCGTTATCGTATTCTCTATTATGATCGGCTTCATAATGATCATCTTCATCTTTGCTTGAACCGATTAAACCTCTTCGTCTTAAAAATTAGAAAAAAGGACATAACTGTTGTTTTACGTAAGAGTCGTATTGTAAAACGAGTTCAATTTATTGTAATTAATATATTATATACAAATATGTAATAAACACAAGAAAAAAATTGTAGACAACAGTAGTAACAAATAGCTGAATGTTATTTTCATTCACAAACGTAGTTTCAACAACATTAAATTTATTTTCTTCAAGTAAACACAATTTATTAACTGGGCGACTCAAATACGTGATTTTCCCAGCGGAGACACATCACACACATTGCTGCATGC